TCTTTATTCAGCGCCGTCGGCGCCATAGCCGAAGCCAAGACGATGAACAATCCATAAACCTAAGTTATTTATGCCTAAAATGATCCACACATGTGGATCCGGCGACCCCCCCTCATCATCAACGACCGGGGTCATCGACAGAGGGGAGCCGCCGGACGATGGTGGCGCAAGGAAGCTCTCTGGTGGTGGCAGCGAGATTGCCTTTCTTTCTTCCCTAAGAAAGAAAGAAAATGACAGTGTGCGGACTCGCCCTCGTAGTTGTACGCGATGTCTAACATGTTCCTCGTGGTTGCGAAGTGCTTCAATAGGATCCTCATACATGTAAATACGCCAGCTATATGGTCTTGGAGACTGAAGCAGCAGTCCTGACTGGACGGGGCGCGTATATCCTACATCCCACTTGTGACACGTCGGCATGGGGCCATCTGTCAATAAGAGAGAGAAAGAAATAGGAATTACACACGGATCGAACCAACGACCTCATGTTCGCTTCTATCACAGGCTAGCCAATAAAACTGGCGCAATTTCGTGCTAACATTTAGATGCGCAGACTTTTAGATTCCCATTGCAGACTTTCTATAACTCGGTGGACTGAGATTTAACCAAGTCTTAGTTGGTTGCTCAATTGTTGAACTTTTGCATGAACATTCATGCTGTATTGAGCACCATTCAATGGACCTCACGGCATTTTCTCACACCGATTGCAGCATCCATAATTGCTGGTTGCAGCATGTCAACTCAACGGTCATAACATGTCCCCTCGCCATTCGTAGCACATCGTCTCACCAGTCGCAACATCCGCCTTTGACGGTTGTAGCATTTAGTCACACTGGTTGCAGCGTCAGTTGTTGTTGCTTGCAAAATTTTCGCAACATTTTTCATCATCGATTGTAACATCTAGTCATGCCGCTCGTAGCAAAACAACTACGCGGACGTCACAATATTGAGACTTTGTTAAGTCACACACGACTAAGTTCTAAACACATCATTCTCTTTGTTTAACTCTAAACGAAGATCCCATCCACGTCATGGATGCCGAGTACTCCCAACCTTGCTTGCGGGGGAGAAAGTCACGATCCATATAACAAATACTTGTACTGCGACGAACAAGAGGACCTTAGGGCTGAGGGGAAACACTACACACTGTTTGGCGCCGACCGTGTGATCACGCACGACATCCAGGCTGTGGAGTACATAGTAGACGTCCACGCGCTCCCGGTTATCCAAGTGCTCGCAGTTAGCTTGCGATGCCGCTTCGCGCTCGGTGGCATGGGCGACGTCTAGGAGTACGCATTGCTCCGGGGTGACGACGGTATTCAGGCGCTTGCCAATGTTGGAGACGGACATGACGCGCTCAACGACATTGCGACGTCCAGCGCAACGTGCTGCTCGCTGCTTCTGGCAACGTTCATGTGGAGGATCCATCTTGTTTGTTTTATAGCGATAAGGAATTAATTCAACATTTATTCGTTGCATGTGTTGTTGCCAAACATGTTTGGTCTTTTGATTCAAACTTCTTTTAAGTTGGTACACCTACATGTTCTGAGAATATTTGGGCTTTGTGGCGTTTACATAAAAGTAAAACTATATTAAATTTGGTCGCGACGGCTTCCTTGTGGAGTTTGTGGACACTCAGGAATGATTTTTTTGCTTTGAGGGAAGGGCTTGGAGAAGCGTGAATTATATCCTTATGAAAATAAGTTGTTATCCTCATCAATGGAAGGTGCTCCGCGACAACACACATGTGGTGCTTTTTCAATGATGTATCCTTCTGCTGGACAGGCACATGGGAAAACTTCTCAGGATTGCTTGGAAGTGAACTTGCCCTATGATGCGGACTTCCATAGTAGACGATGCGCTTCCATTAGTTGTTACTCCCTTCGTTCGAAAAAGCTTGTCCCTGAAATGGATGTATCTAGCATTAAGTTAGTGTTAGATACATCCATCTGAGAGACAAGATTGGGACAAGTTTTTTCGGATAGAGGAAGTATTATTTTGTTCGGCTGGTTCCTGTTTTGCATGGATGTGTAAGATAAGTAAAGAGTAGGTTATCATTTTTCTTTAGACATCCGTTTGGTTGCTGAGCATTGCTGGCCAGCCACCCTGCATGGCCCGAGAGTTGTGGTTTCATTCAATAAAATGGATCCAGGGGAAACCCCTTTCTTTAAAAAAAAAAATCTTCAAAGAGTATAAACTCTATGAATGTGATACCCGAAAACAACATGCATACAAGAAATTCACACATGTTGGCCGCACACCATGAAAGTTACAAACGAAACTTGAGAACCTGAAACTGTTTCATGCCTATCAAAATCTTGTCAATACCATTTGGAATCGGATTTTCAATTTTCAATTTCAAACGGATTCTCAACTTGCTCATGTTATTGCTAAATCAGTGAACAAGATTCTTGTTCTAGTTGATTTAATGAGTGTCCTGATATGATCAGGGCCATTATCTGTAATGAACAACCTTGAATGTATCAAAAGGATCTGCCCAATTCTCAAAAAAAAAAAGAGAATTGAAGGAAGCAAGCAACTAGGCAAACCTCTCCCTATTTATACTCTCAAAATAGGCTTTCACCCCATTTTATCATATAATAAAGCAACACAATAGAATACACGACCGAATGATACAATATAATGTGGGACCCTCTTACAAAGCAAATCTCAAGATATAACATGAAGCGTAGAACGAGCCTAACAGATCACTGCGGCCCGACCAATGTCACCCGAGCACCACAACAACGCCCCCAAGAAGGTGACGGCACGAAGCATCGCTGTCGTGTCCGAACAACAGACAATGGTTTTCACATGAAGCCCTGACAGAGGGACGAGACCTACAACGACGTATTCAAGAAGTGACTCCCGCGGGTGCCACCGTCATCGTTGCCGGATACCGTGAAGCTTCAACTCTAGAACTCGCCTGCACCACACCTGTAGGAGCCTTGGTCACCACCGCAATGAGAGCCAGCCCATCTACATCTGATTTGCGCACCATGAAAATAGATGAGAGCCTCCCGCCACTACACCCCTTGCCGCCCATAGTATCAAGAGGTGGAGACACCACCGCCATCATGGAGCCTGCAGAAAGCCAACTGTGGAACCCGCCATCCAGGACCTCCTCCCCGCCATACTCGGACCAACTCATTGCCGACGCCATAACACATGACCGCCACCCAACCAACCACAAAACACTCGCCTCGACATGGGCATCGAGTGACCGGAGCAACCAACCCTTGCATTGGTGGCCAACCCACTCCGTCGGCCGTCTGCGATGAGCGCCATTGGGAGGAGTGGGTGTCGCCCCATCCAATCTAGGCACTCCAGATCCAGATGGGGACCCCTCCTGGCAGCCGGCACCTCCGGCCACCCGATGGTAGCCGGTACCTCCGGCCGCCAAACATCAACCTTCGTCGGCTCCCCGCGGCCTGCTCTGTCACTGTCGCCCCATCGTCGAGGGTCGTCGCGCCAACCTGCAGCGTCCCACAACTACATGCCCGCAGGAGAAGCTCGTCATTACCAACCCGGCGCCACTGGGCAGGCCTCGTCATGCTTGGCTCAACAGCTCCCTATATACACTTCCCGCTGGGCTAACGGCTCCCTATCTGGCACGAAGCATCGCTGCCGAGTCCGAACAACAGAAAATGGCTCTGTTGCCGGCCGTTGACTGTGTTGACGTGTAGGCCGCTGGCTCTGTTTGCCGGCGTGAACTAGGGCCGCTGGCATGAACTAGGGCGTGGTTATTTCGAAAGTTGGCGTCTGAAAAAGGAGGCAGACAGGATGGGGCCAAAGGATGCGTCTGCATGTTGGGCACACGGCCACCGCATTCGGACACGACCCCATTTCCCTACCCCAAACGGAGTGAATCCGGGCAAAACGGACGTCTGTTTGGGGTCGTGCGCTGGAGTTGGCCTCAGGAGGGACATCGCTTCTTCGTCATCTTTTAATATTTATCACGCATTGCAATGGGACATACTACTGAGCAGGGTGTTTCGGTGCCCAGACTCATCTGCACCCGGTTAGAAAAAAATCGTAACAAATTCAAAAAAAATCAAAAAAATTCAAATATTTTTTCTGCGGTAGACAATTTGATGCATGAGGCCCGTTCCAAAGTTCAAGTCATTTGGACATCTGAACAACTCTCAGCAAAAAAGACAAATCAGGGCAAAACAGTACATGAACAGTAAACATTTTTACATACCCCCAATTTGTCTTTCTTGCTGATCAAACAAGTTCTTGTTCTTGATCTCAGTTCTTGCTGATCAAACAAGTTCTTGTTCTTTCTTGATCACGTTTACTACTATTTCTGGTTCTTGATCGATCGCACTTCTTTCTGATCAGACCAATTCTTGTTCTTGATCACCATTATTTTGATATATGTTGGTTGATTAAGTGATTCAACTCTCGTGCGGGGGATGTTAGCTCGATGCATGCCGTCGGAGGGGCCTAGCGGCGGCGGCCCAGAAAAGGAGACGGAGGCAGGGCCTTGCAGCGGTGTCGCCAACAAGGAAACAGGGTCTAGCGGCAGCGTCACCAACAAAGAAACGGAGGAACGCCGTGGTTTGCCTGATCCTTGCAAGTAGAATTGCACCCAGTGTTACAGAAGCATTGGGCGTTCGTGAGTTCCTTCTCCAGAGACTGAAGGTACGCCCGGACCTGATCGATGCGTCGGCCAAGGGCTTAAGCTTTGGCCAAGTCGCTTTACACTCTCTTCAAGGAGACCAAGGAGGTGTCAGAGGTCTTCCTTTACTTCCTAGCTCTCCACAAGTCCAAGAAGAAGTAACCATATCCTACAGTTGTGATATGAGGGATGGGTACAGAGATATAGAAGAAAAATTGTACTCTAGTTTCACAGATTTTACAGTGCAAAGAGGAGTGCAACAACATCCGGGAATCTTGTCCGGGACGAATAGAGTTTCAGAGTTGTAAATTCTGTACAAAACTACATATGAATTTTGTCCATATGCTTAGAACAAGTATGATGACTGAATGCCAGAGCGCTATTCTTCCATCAAATTCCTGATCACCCTCATCAAACCACCTTTAGTTTTTAGTATCTTGTACATTCCTAGCAGGTGGCGTCTCGGGTCCTTATCGCCTGCAATCTCATAGTATACAGCTCCAAAGTACACTTCAACCCAAATGAGCCTGGCATGAACAAACGATTGTTTAGAGAAAATATTCGATGTGCTAGGAATAGAACTGCATGTAAGCATATTTGCTTTAGACACCAAATACTAACCAAATAATTTTCGTGACGAGCCGGTAAACACCCTGCCATAACAAGCAACAGAAAGCAATTAGTACACAATATGTTCACAATTATTTTGAAGTTTAGGTTTTCACGCTCTTCAACAAAAAGACTTACCGAAAAAGCGCTGTTATCCTTGTACAACAAAATAAGTGACATTGCTGCATTGGGAATGAAGGCATCCTTTAATATTTCATTATTCATAAAGGTGCATAATTGCCACGGGAGAAATATACATGTGCACGTCTAAAACAGTAAAAGTATTTTCTATGTTCAGTTGGACTTGGATCCATATGAAATTTAGAACGCAAGTATAATGCATGTTCATTTGAATCGATATAAAATTAATAATACAAGTACCATTCACAGAGGCGTTTAGATTCTTCATATACAAAATTCAGAAACGGAAATAAATTTACTTTCAACAACAGAGAATAGCTTTCTAAGCAAGTGCCTCCCACTGCTCGAAATATTACTCTAGAATTGCTGGTGTGATAAGAGTTTCAAGTGGTGTTTCAGTCCAATCATAAAGGCCGGAAACTTGGAGTAGGATCCAGAGTATGATAAATTGATATATTTGTTTCCTCCATAATAATCACACGCTAAATGGTACTAGTATTTGAGTCCCAAAACTCACCGAGCTGTATCCGAGCACACATGTGGTTTGCCTTCCCATTTCTTTTCAGTTCTGCTGCTAAAACACTTAACTTGTAGAATATATATCCGAGAATCATATCCACGAACAGGGTTGGTACTAATTTACCAAGCTGGCACAAACCAGCAATCATCAACAATGGGCCTGCAAAATAATTAGAATACATAATTCAGCTGTGCGTGCAATGCTTCCTTTGGTAATTTTCTATTTCTTCAGTGAAGAGTAAAATCACGATGAAACCAAACTAGTAGTAGTATAGGGTGTGAAAACGGATGAATAAGGGCAATGGTGTCATGTTCAGACTTCAGACTATACTTGGGATTTGGGAAGGTGCAAAGTCAGTGATGCCGATTTTTATTGGAAGGTGCAGTAGTTAATACTGAATTTTCCTCCGGTGCATATTAATTAGAGACAAGACATCAGAGCGGCTATTAGTGATTTTGCATTGCCAATCGCTGTTAATTAGTAGAACGAGTAAGTTGATTCTTGATTACATTGCCCAGAACCAGCAGCCTGATGGCTGTCGCGTCAGAACCTGTACAGATTAACCAAGAAGAAATCTGTCCATACACACATGCATACCGGCGACGATCCCGGCATGGTAGCTGCGGCAGCGGAAGAAGTGGCCGCGGTCCCTGATCTCGCGCAGGGCGAGCAGGACGGGCCGGAGGGGCTCGGCGACGAGCGCGTTCCATATGGCCTCCAGCTCCTCCCGGCCGTGCCCGGTGGTCGGCGCGTCGGTCTCCTCCGTGGGGAGCTCCTCCGGGGTGAGCTCCGTGGCCCACCACCGGCTCAGGGCCGGAGCGCTAGGGCGTGCGCTGCACAGCCTGAGCACAGGACCTCGTTGGCGATTGGTGAACTGGAGACTGGGGGCGCACGAGCGGCGGCTCCGCGTGGTACTGGGGGAGACGAGAGCGCCGGCGGGGCAGAGGAAGAGCGACGAGACCATGGTCGCCATAGTTATAGTGACCAACGTTTTTTTCGAGTATTGCGGTGGAGAAAAACTTGGCGTTTGGCGTCGTGGCGGCCTATTAAAGGGACGAGCCGGATTCGGCCAGGAGTTCGGTGTGGTCACCTAATAAAGCCCAGAGTTCAACTCCTCGATGGTGGCCAAAAATCACTGTGCTATGAAAGTTTAGTTGGAGCAACTAATTAACAAGCGCACCCCTTAAAAAAACTAATTAACGAGCGCTTCTTTGGGAGCCTCGCAACGATCAGCGCCACTTGACGCGCTTTCAGCTATTCGTTACGTGTCGCGCTCTGGGCGCTCCCTCCGAATTTTGTTTTTTTATTTTTCCGCACGTATTTTCGGTTTCTTAAACAGTTTTTTTTCCCGGGTTTTTTTGACGTTTTGGTTTTCCATCGGTTTTTTCCAAAAAATATTTTTTTTACGAAAAAACGCATTTTTTTTCGCGAGAGTCACAGTTTTGTTTTCGCGAGAGGCACGGTTGTGCTTTTGCGAGAGAAACGTGTTCTCTGTTTTTTTTTCCTTTCGCGAGAGGCACGATTTTGCTTCCGCGAGAGGCACGGTTGTGCTTTCGCGAGAGTCACGGCCGTGCCTCCTCGGAAACGAAAAAAAAAACATGTTTTCTGGTTTTTTTCGTGAGAGGCACGGTTTTGCTTCCGCGAGAGGCACGATTGTGCTTTCGAAAAAGGCACGGGCGTGCCTCTTTCGGAAAGGAAAAAAATTGTTTTCTGTTTTTTTTCTTTGGCGAGAGGCACGGGCGTGCCTCTTTCGAAAAGGGAAAAAAAACGTGTTTTCTGTTTTTTTTCACGAGAGGCACGGTTTTGCTTCCGCGAGAGGCACGGTTGTGCTTTCGCGAGAGGCACGGGCGTGCCTCTTTCGAAAAGGAAAAAAACATGTTTTCTGTTTTTTTTCTTTCATGAGAGGCATGATTTTGCTTCTGCGAGAGGCACGGTTGTGATTTCATCAGAGGCACAAGCGTGCCTCTTTCGAAAAGGGAAAAAAAACTCATGTTCCCGATTCGGTTTTTTCGTTGGTTTTTTTCGTCCGAGCTTTTCGTGAAAAAAAGTTCGTCAAAACCTATCAATATGGGATCTAGTTTTGAAGATCTCGACGCGAGGAATCCAACGGCGAAAGCGGTTCGGGATTTGGACGCACGGTTTAAGAGATAAAACATTTTAAATAAACGGATCTACGAAAAAAGGGAAAACACCCAGGTTGCGATAAGTGGCGCACATGCAGCGCGCCACTTGTCGCAACCTGGGAAAGTTGGAGTGATCTTCTCAAGGAGTACTCCTTAATTAGTGATTTCGAAGTTTAGCACTTTCTGATCTAGGTTTGCGCGAATGTTATGTCTCTCAAAAAAATTAAATTAGAAAGGTCACTCCCACGGACCAACCTGTGGTTGTAATTGGATGGTTAGGAAGACAGTGATATCCCAGCTCACCAGGGCACAAGTCATGGTGCTCGCATTCCTAAATTTATTTCAGCATTTTCGGCGATGTGTGTTCAGTGGTAAGAGACGTTCTTATACACTACGAGACGCCTATGATAATTTCGTCAATCTCAAGATGATATGTGAGATCAGTCTTTCGAAGGTGCTCATAGGGAAAGTTTCTGCGTGTGTGTATTCATAGGGATGAGTGTATGCGCGTATATATGAGCATCTGCGTCTGTAGCGTATTTAAAAAAACAAAAGTAACAACTACAGAGTTGTGAAATGTGCGCCACTTGTCACAACTAGATAGTTTCTCTTTTTTTTTGGATTCGTTTATTCACAGCGTTTTCTGTTTTAAACCGTGCGTCCAAATCCCGACTTGTTTTCAGTGTTGGATTTCTCACATAGAGATTTTTGAAATTAGATCCTATGTTATAGGTTTTGATGAGCTTTTTTTCATGGAAAAACCAGCCAAAAAACACAAGACGGGAGCACGATTTTTTCCTAGTATTTTGTTCCTTTCCCGAAAAGGCAGAGTTGTGCTTCTTGCGAAGCAAATGTGTGCCTCCACGATAAGCAAATGTGTGCCTCCATGATAAACAAATATATGTGTCTCCCAAAAGAAAACTCGTGCTTTTTTAGAGGCACAGTTCGCGGAAGTAAACTGTGCCTCCACGAGAAGAAAAATCTATACCTCTCGTGGAAGTAAAGAAGTGATCTTTTTTTTTCTTTTTCAAGAGGCATAGTTGTGCCTCTTGCAGAAGCAAATCTATGTGAGAAACAAATTTGTGCCTCTCGCGCAAGCAAAAAAAAGCGTGTGTTTTTCCTTTTTCGAGAGGCACAGTTGTGTTTCTCGCGAAAGTAAATATGTGCCTCCATGAGAAGCAAACATGTGCACCTTGCGGGAAAAACACGTTTGTTGTTCTTTTTGAGAGGCACAATTGTATCTCTCGTGTAAGCAAATATGTGCCTCCTCGAGAAGCAAATTTGTGCCTCTCATGAAAGAAAAAAAATTCCTTTTTCGATTGCCTCTCGAGGAAGCAAATATGTGCCACTTTTGGTTTTTTCTATTCTTTTTTTGGTTATTGAAGTTAAATTTAGAAAGAAAACAAAAAAGAGAACCATAGTCTTCTGCACACTTAGAAAGAAACAAAGAAAGCAAAAAAAAGATGCAAACATAGAAAGAAACCAAAAGTTCTTGATGTTAAATTTGTTTCTCTTTTGGTTTTTTATTTTTCTTTTCTTTTTCTTTGTTTCTTCTGGTTTTATTCTATATTTTTCCTATACATCAAGAACTTTTTCTAATGCAAATTTCATAATATAAATACAAATTTAGCATTTTTTAATACATGTTGAACAATTTTTATACATAATTTTAGACAAAAAAATCAAATACTAGTTTTTTTTCAAATACTAGTTTTTTGTGTACATTTTCTAATACATGTTTAACATTTAATATTTAGTATACATGATTAACAGTTTTCAAATAAAAGATTGGAATAACTAATACATGGTCAACATTTTTTATATATACATTTTAATATTTTGAAATGCTTACTTCATATATTTTTTAATACAATATTAACATTTTGTAATACATCGTCAATATTTTTTATACATAATCGACAGTTTTAAGTGCTTCATTAACATTTTTTAATACTTGTTTAAAGTTTTTTTAATACTCAATTAACATTTTCTAAATACATAATCAACTTTTTCACACACATTTTATATCTTTTATATACATGAGAAATATTTTTATACACATTTAATATTTTAAAAATGCTTGGTTAACACTTTCCAAATATTTTTTTATGTAAAAATTTTTTGGTAATATATATTTATTTAAAATATTTGAAAGTACAAAGGAAAGTAAAAAAACAAAAAAATGGGGTTGTGGCCTTACGCGCATCTGGGCAAGCCCATTTAGGGAGGGGCCTTTAAAAAAACTTTTCTCTTTTTTATTTTTCACGTTCATTCTTTATTTTCTTTTTAGTTGTCATTTTTCTTTCCTTTTCATTTTTTCCATTCTTTTTCTTTATCTTTTTTCAGTTTGCAAATATTTTTTGAGATCATAAACATTTTTTGAATACGTAAATATTATTGAAATCATAAATGTATTTTGCAATCATGAAAGTTTTTCAAATTCATTAAAAAATTACATTCATGACATTTTTTGAAATTATGAATATTTTCTGAAATTCTAAAAAAACGTAAATTTTTTTTGTAATCTTTTGAATATTTATTTTGAATCAACGAACATTTTTTAAATTTATGAACATTTTTTATGTCACGAACAATATTTGTTTTGAAATTTGTGCTATTTGTGTGTTTTTGTGCAGAAAAGTTAGGTTTGGATAGGAACTATTTAAGGAGGGGGTTCTTCCAACCCCCACCTACTACTTAGCTTACATTAATGTTGAAGCTTTTTTTGTCTGATCTTCTTCTCTAGCCAACTAAACTTATTGATTTGTTAGGGATTGAGGGACGAGACCTAGATCTACACTTTCACCAAAGGATATTTGATTCCTCAGACATTCTATTGTCAATCTTGTTACCCTTGGGTGTCTAAGCACCCTACACGGAAGAGGTTACCTTGGAGCCACATTCTATTATGGTGAAACTCCGTGATGGTGTTGGAAGCCTCCAATTAAATTGTGGAGATAGTCCAACCTTGTTTCTAAAGGTTTCGTTTGTCGCCTTCAAGGGCACCGCTAGTGGATTCATGACACCTTGCATTATGTGAGGGCGTGAGAAGAATAGGATGAGTCATTGTGGCGCTTGGGGTGCATCGTGCCTCCACACCCCTCCAACAGAGACTTACCTCCCCCAAAGGAGGGAATTTCGGCAACACATCCTCGCCTCCGCTTGCGGTTACTTCTATCATTTTCTTTAGTTGTATAATCTTGTTCCATTGTGGTTACTACTTAGGTTACACTTGTTATTGTTGAGCTTGTCATATAGGCTGTCCACCTAATTGCATTTCTAGACAACCTATTTTGTTGGTGAACCTAAATTTACAAAAGAAGTTAAAAATAGTTAGTCACATATTCATCCTCTCTAATCGATCATATTGATCCTTTCACCCCCCCACCCCCTCCCAGTCCCTCACGCAGTCACAATATCGACATGGACAGTGGTAGCATTTGTTGTCGCCGATTACACTCGTCGACACCCACAGATGTAGCAGTGGTCGTTGCCGTCGTGCATTGATGGTAGCAAGGCCACATGCTAGTTGTAGCACCTTCGTGCGTTGGTCCCAGCTTCGCACACATGCGGTTGCAGCACCCTCGACCCCTCATGTCCCGTTGGTCGCCCGCACCTCGCAGCTCGTAGAGTCCACATGTGATACCCGTTCATATTTGCTTAAAAGGAGAAAGATATCCCATTCGGTTTGGGTAGCTAGAGTCCACATGATAGTATTTTCCTGGAAATGAACACCAAGTTAGTGTCGCACATAAGAATATAATGAATAATGGCATTTGTTATTATGTTGTACCTTTTGGGAGGCACATGAAAGATAAGTGTGCTAATGTGTGATTCAAGACCGTTGTGT